TTCTATTCTGTCAAAATAGTCGTTTATTCTCCTAATTCATAAATAATTATTATGGGTTGAGTTAAAATTCTCGAGAAAAATTTAATTTAAAAAATGCAAATTAACACTTAGAGTAAAGCGGGGAAAGATGGACTTTGAAATTACCTTTCTAAGGCTCAATCTCTCTAGCAAAATGTTAATCTTGACTTTTTGTGGCGATAGTTATTAAAAAAATATCAGAAAGCGTCAACATCAATAGTTTTAATTTACGCCGGTAAAAAGACAACCACCTTATATACAGGTTGCCTCAGAACTCGCACCCCACAGAACAATTTCAAGTAAGATAAGATACCAGGAACATGAAAAAAAATGTTCAGAAAATGCTATCAAAAATTTTACCATTTATTTTTTAACTCTTAACATTTTCTATGTCTATTTAATGATACTGATGATCTTGTATATGTTTTTGTATAATTATTTAGTAAAAGTACAAACATTTTGCCAATAAAAGCTACAAATAAGCCTGTAGCCAAAAAACTTGGAAAATTATTTTTCCAACAGAAATAAATAGTAGAGTCAAAGTGCAAAACTCTCATAACTTCGAAATTTTTATAGATAGAGTTTTTTAAAAAAATTTTTCATGTTCCTGGTATTTTACATTTATTTCTGGGGAGCGAGTTCTGGAATGCCTTGTTTAATTGAGTTATTTATTTAGTTATTGTTAATTATTGCTTAAATGTTAATTACATAATAAATAATATTGTTCTCATTTTAATGGTATATTAATCAGACACTGCTATGGAAGTAATGTAAGTATATATTTGTTTTCCATAGTCAACTACTATTACGAATTATAAAAATCATAATAGCATTCTTTTCCTAAAATTTATGAAAATAAGAAATGAGCTTTTCAAAAATGTCATGGCTCCCAATATGATTTTTAAGATCTTGCTAAAATATCAATTTTTGTTTATAACTCGAAAACAAAAGACAATAGCGAAATGTAGTTCAGACCAAAAAATGACCTTGAAAATGTCAAAATATATTATTTTTTTTATCTATTTAAAAGAATGTTTTTTGTTTTGTTACCTCTATAAGTTGTCTTAAAATTCATTTTATGAGAAAAAATATTCGTGGTTGAATTTAAATAAAAGTAAGATAAAACTGTGGTTCACCTCTCCCGGGCTTACCCTACTACTGGAAGTAGTCAAAATTTCAAATATTTACTCTAGTTGAAATAAAAAAACAAGAAAAGTGAATGTGCAAAAACGAACTATATGAACTTTTGCAAGCAATTCTCATTTTATTAATTATTTATTCATCAAATTCTTGTTTACAAAGTTCACCATTAAATTACTTTCGTTCTACTGTTACTCGACACTCATCTATTACCATAAATGAATTTCATTAGTAAAATAGAATATTGAAATTTGTTAAGACTAGACACTGATGTGATTATCTCAAATGTCATACAAATAATCATTTTATTACGTTAAACATTTGCGGTTTTTCGACATTTTAATTCTCCAAATAAAATATAATAATTAGAGAGGCGACTAAATCAATTCATTTGAGATAATTATCGCCATTCACTGTCCTTTCAAAGCCGGCTGTTACGCAACACGGCGAGCGCCATAAGAATAAATCAGAATTTTTCACAAAAACTTCAAATAATTCATTATTGCTTTAATTAAGGCGCGATAAATGGCTAATTAACGAAAGTTTCGAAACTTTGTATAAACACACAGGGTGTTTTCTTAATATTGCAACCACATCAAAAATAACACTAATAAAAAAATTAAAATATCACCTTGTATATCAAAGGACTATTATTTATTTGTCAAATTAGTGCAATTTTGCAATTTTTTGCAATATTAAGAAAACACCCTGTATATCAAAAATGGCATTTTTGAGGACGACCAACTTGTCCTAGACCTAGCGTTTCTCCGGAAAGTCGGGAAAGTGTGCGACATTGACACCAGATGGTCTAACTCTCGTCGCAAAATTTTCTTCTTTATCAAATTATCCATATGTTTGATCATAACGGTACAAAATCAAGTTGGCAATTAAATTGTCATAATTCGTTTATCGCTTGTTTCGTCACGCCATGACGATTTTTCGGTCATGAGACCACCATTACACGAGCAATTGACCACGGCACGCGACGCGACAAAAATTAAAGTTTTCGTTGTATTTTGCAAGGTTGGTAGCGATGTCAATGACCGATAAGTGTCAAATTACGTTCATGGCCCATCTTGATAATTCCCCAAAATTTTGAAAGAAGGACAAGGATGCAACTTCCTTCCCAAATGAGATAAAAATAAACGGTTTCGCAAATCAGTTAGGTTAACGAAAATCCCAGCTGTCTTGATTGAGACAAACACTGAAACGAGGTCGAAAATTCGCCCATTTTTGGTACTTAATTATTATCCATTACGTGCGGATGCCCATGTGGGCCAGGTGTGATGGTTGTGATTTCGGATGGGTGCGCGAGATGAAGACACCACGCCGTTAAAATTTGTGGGTAATTTGGCAAAGAAAGCAAAAGTATCGGAAAAAATCGTGTTGAAGATGGAACGGTTTTTCGATTTTGTTATGTAGAAAGCGTGTAGACTACTTCTTTACCAGAATTGTTTAATTTTAAATGCTTGTGTGTACTGTTACGTTTAAAAAAAGTGGATTGATGGTGGCATGTGGGATATATGAGACCAGTATGGAGACGAGAAAATGAACGAAAAGAATTTTGTAATTTCTGTATGTTTTATAGGGATTAGCATAACTGTGATTGTGATTGGAAAAGTTGTTTCGATGCGAATAAAATGCATTTTTACAAAAAATTCTATTTAGATAGTTGTAATTCTTAAGTGATAAGCTTTGGCTTAGTTTTTTTTGTTTCTCTTTAACAAATAACATATTTTATGAAAATAAAATTGTTTCAATGAGTTTTGTATTGTTAAAAACCAATTTTTTTATTGGTTTGTATTATTTTATTAACAGATAAATATACCAGCAAAAAATGAACAGTTTTATTTCTTGTGTTTTATAAAAGTCAAGTTTGAATTTTCAAATTTTAAGATTACGACTACTTTGTTTGTGAGTTTTATGTTATTTTATTATTTATTGTAGAGGTTTTTTTTTTTATAAGAATGTAACATCGAAATTTTAAATAAATTGGCAAAACTTACTTTATTTTCAAAATTTCTTATTTTAATAAAACTAGAAAAAATTTTTTGTTGAGATATTTAAACCCAATTAAAACTACACTAACTTTGTCCCGTTTCATCTAAAATTTTCACATATTTTTCTCATTTTTGTACCTATTGTACAAAAAAGCCATGGATTTTGGATTTTTGATTTTAAAAGTAAATTACAAAAAGAAACAATCTAAAAATATAAAAAATACAAATGCTTTTACTTCTGTGTTTTAAAAGGATTTAATTTGGATTTTCTTAAGGAATTTTGACAATTTGGGTATTTTTTTTTCTTATAATGAAACAGAAACATCCAAATATTTAATAAATAATTAAAACTGCTTTATTTCCAAAATTTCTTGTTTTTATGAAATCGAAAACGAATTTATGTTGAAATAAATATTTAAGTCCATTACCCATCAAAATCAATTTTATCGCGTTTTTTATTATGTTTATAATTGATAAACAAAAAATTGTCCGGTTTATTTCTTTTGTGTTTAAAAATAAAAATTTAATTTAATTTAAGAAATTTTAA